GTTGATGGATGATGAATAAATGGATGTTCGTATATTTGTTTTTGTCTTGCCCATCACTTTCCCCCTCAATTTTGCTTTGAACTATAGATGGGTATTTTTGCACACGTAGATGAAATGAATGATTAGCGTTTCTGCTTTTGTTGTTTACCACGAATAAGGAATTGATGATTGCCAAGTCAGATGCATGCGATGCCACGTCATCTTGCATGATTGGGAGAATGATTGTGTACTTGATCAGTTGAGTGATTGTCTTTGCTGCACACTGATTTCTGTATGTGAGGTTTGGGCCCTTGCGTCGCATCAGGATTCAGTAACTGACAGGCGCGTTATCGCAAACCCTCGTATATACTTGCGCAAGCACGACCCCGCGCGGGCGGCTTACACGTGTTGATACGAGCACAATCTGCCCGATGACGTGATGGGCGACGGAATGAGCACGAAACTCGATCTCTGCAGTGGACTAACCCCGTGGGGACCGTTACGATGATACCCGGAATTCCCATGCCAAACCGAAAACGATCAAGTAAGCGAGAAAAATTTCCGTCTCGCCTCGCTCAACAACCCCCACCGCTCAGCGACATCATTCTGGCTAGCCATATTGCACCTATGCCTCTGAACCTTATCACAGGAGATCTCAGTTCCGACCTGGAACTCCAACCCCACTTTCCAAAAATCCTTGGCACACCCCTTTTCTCACTTCTAGGCCCACAACCTCCTCTGATCAGAAAGTCGCGCTGACCTTGAGGTTGGTATCGGAGCCGACACGTGGCAGGGTTGTAGGACTCGTAGGTCGGCAACTTAGAGAGGAGCGATCAGCCTAACAAAGGCCGGCCAAGATCACGGAAGGCGCGGCGACGTGACCCCATTGTTACACGAAGCGGCGGGCGGCAAACATGAATGCCCACCCGCAGAACGCTCCGGTAAACGCTCCGGTGAACGTGTCGGTAAACCCCAATAAACCCAATTCTAATCAGCCTAACCCAAACCAACCCGCACCACGAGCACGAGCACCTGTGGCCCCACCCGAACTTTATCTATTTGACCCATCTCACCATCTTGCAGGAGCATGGTTAGCCACGCTCCGAGCTCAGCAGTATGATGACTAGGAGGCACAGATCAACATCCCTGCCCGATTGGGAGGAGACGCTCATCATTGGTTTAACACCTTTGTATGGGTAGATCTCCCGACATTCGAGCGGGGCTTTATGAATCGGCTTGATTACATCCATTAAGAACAACCCTTGTTTATGATCAAGGATCGTGTACAAAAACCGTTCGAATCTGTAACGGAGTATCGCAATCGATTCTTTCGGATGTTTGTAAAGACAGAACGCGGTGAGCAGGTAGGTAGAAATCTTTTCATAAACGGACTCTGCAGCAAACGGATGAGGGCAAAACTGCGAAAACATCGAAGTATCCCAGGATGAAGCGCTTCACACCCAAGCACCCAAATCAACAAAATGACAAGTTTGAGAGTGTCTACACTAGGGGAATGATCACCGAAGTATACCAAGATAAAGCGCTGCACACATAGGCATTCAGATCAGCAAAATGACAAGATTGATGACATCTACACTAGGGGAATGATTACCGAAGTATCCCAAGATGAAGCGCTGCATACATAAGCATCCAAATCACCAAAATGACAAGTTTGAGAGTGTCTACATTAGGGGAAAGATCACCGAAGTATCTCAAGATGAATCGCAACTCACACAATCATCCAAATCAGTAAAAACACAAGATTGAGAGCATCAACACTAGGGGAAAGATCACCGAAGCATCCCAAGATGAATCGCAACAGACTCAAGCATCCAAATCAGTAAAAACACAAGATTGAAAGCATCAACACTAGGGGAAAGTTCACCGAAGTATCCAAGGATGAGTCACAACACACACAAGCATTCAAATCAATAAAAACACAAGATTGAGAGCATCAACACTAGGGGAAAGTTCACCGAAGTATTCCAAGATGAATCGCAACACACACAAGCATCCAAATAAGTAAAAACACAAGATTGAGAACATCAACACTAGGGGAAAGTTCACCGAAGTATCCCAAGATGAATCGCAACACACATAAGCATCCAAATCAGCGCAACACACACAAGCATCCAAATCAGTAAAAAAACAAGATTGAGAACATTAACACAAGGGGAAAGTTCACTGAAGTATCCCAAGATGAATCGCAACACACACAAGCATCCAAATCAGTAAAAACACAAGATTGGGAGCATGGACACTACGGGAAAGTTCACCAAGTATCCCAAGATGAATCGCAACACACACAAGCATCCAAATCAGTAAAAACACAAGATTGAGAGCATCAACACTAGGGGAAAGTTCACC